CTCTTGTCAAACATGCTCAAATCTTTACGCTTGTCCATTTTTCCTACTTCTAACATCCTCTTTCAGGATGAAATGTTGATGTGCTCCCTAATAAATCGATCATTTCTTACCGAAAAGTGGTTAGTTTCCCTGATCAGACACTAAAATGAGCGGTACAGGAGCCGCTCTGCTGCAAGATCCATGTAAGGTTACATTTATCAATTTGCAGTGATCAGAGCTGTTAATTATTGGTTCATTTCCAACCCCCATTTCAGGAATCTGTTAAATAATACATCTTTGAACAAAACTGGTGTGAAAATTGAACATTTTTTAAATTAAATCTCACCCGAGCTGCTGAATTTTTAATAACCATTCATGCCTCCTAATCCCACCCTTCTATCTGCCTGATCAGAGCCCCCCCTTCTCCTATCAAAATCTGGAAAACGGCCCAAAACATTTAAAATATTTTGGGGTTTATCTTCTCCTCGCTTCACTTCCAGTCAATTCCACCAAATTCGTGCTGCCTCTGGTCTGAGCTCTCTTCTCTGCCCGCTGCTATCAGTCCGCTCCACTGACGATCCCTTAATGAGGGGAGGCATATCTCCCCGGAGGATTGAGTGAGTGTCTCCCCAAGATTACCCTCATCCCCCAACTCGGTGCTTAAATACTTAAAAACCCAGAAGATGAATTCATTGAAAAGTACAAAACCGCACTAATCCCTCCGCTGATGGAGCGACAGGCTGACGGGGAGGAAGAACCAAATTCCTGCAGACGGCTAACCAGAAATCCAGAATCTCTCCTGTCGTCACATGTTTCAAGCTGCCTTAAAAACTCGTCAGTGACTCCTACAGAAATTTTAGGTGTCGGGCAGAAAAGAAACAAAATATCTGATTTTTATTTCATTAAAAAGAAATAAATAAATAAATCACAGGACATCCTTAAGCCTCAACAACATGGCCATGAGGTAAGCCTAAATGACTAAGACACTGTTCACGCGCATCTGTTCACAAAGAAACCCCATCTTCAGCCGTCTCCCATCCACTGCAAGGACTCACCCGACAGTGGGGCACGTGAAACCACCAAGGTCTCACGCATCTGCTCGGCTTTAACCAAAGGCTCGGTTCACCTCCAACGGGCTCTGTCCAGCCAGCAGTGCAAACGCCCCTGAAGTTAAACATTTACTTCTGTATGAAACTTGTGGAAAATATTATTTTAGCCATAATCCTGCAGGCCTAGTTATAACTCCATAATTCTTCTGCTTATATCCCATTAACTGCAATGCCTCATGAACATCAGTGTGCCACAGACGCCCCTTCATTGCAGCTCGTCAGTTTCATGACCAAATACTCTCTTCAGTCCAAATTAACCAATGGCACACGCCAACATGCTAATCTAATGATGCGTGTCCACACGACGCATCATTTCGACACACTCCATTCGCTGTTTAATAGCACATCTCGTCAAATTTAGACCTTCCTTTCAGTCTGCTTGTGTTTATACCCCACTACTGTATCTAATTATGAATAATTAGATGGCTCTCTCTCCTTTCAGCCCATCCCTGATTAAGGTTCTGTTGGAGGTTTCTTCCTGTTAAAAGGGAGTTTTTTCTGTGCCACTGTCACCAACAGCTCACTCGTCCGTTCATGAACTATTGGAGGGTTTTCGTGCTAATCTTTACCCTATAACACAAAGCACCTTGAGGCAACTGTTCTTAATCAGTTAAACAGTGTGACTTTCACATATTCCATATTAATATCTGATATTCATGACACCTGAAGTGAAAAACTTCAAGCCTTTCCTTGTTTTCATCAAGATGGTTACTGCTTACAGCTCATAAAAATCAGAAATCCAGCACTGCAAACAATTAGATCATTAATTTAGACTTTGATAAAAAAAAATTATTATATAACACAGTTTAAACAGATCTTCTAGCTCTGTGCGCACAACTGCAATCACGAGTAAGACTGCTGACTTGACGATTATCGACGTATCCAAGCATATTGATGTTGACTGGAGAAGAAAACTGAGGTAGGATCCGTTGATTCAAGAATATTACGACACTAAACACAATCACCAAGTAGCCACTGATTTTTTTTTTTATAGACCGACTTGTATGATTAAGCCACTAGTTTGCGGTGATTAGGTGGCATCTTATTTTATCAAGCCAAGTGTGTTTAGTGTCAGTTGAGACGATTTAATGCAAGTTTTCTCTCCTCATATTATCTCAGGATGGTGGTGCTTGAGATGAGCCCTCTTTTTCAAAGGCGAGCGGAGGGCCGTCTGTTTTTTAAATTCAAGCGACCAGTTCTTCGTGTGTGTGTGTCCGCTCACATCGGGTCTTGTCACAAAAATCTCACACGTAAGCAGGAGAAGCTGTCGCATCCCCTGATTGTCCAGATATGATTTTCATGCCGAGCGTCAAGCTCGAACACCGCCGCCTCATTGTTTGTCATCTGTCCGTCTGTCAGGGAACCGCAGACTGATAATTAACACCTGTCACACGCGGACATCGAGTCGGGTTTTACAGTGTGCCCACGCACACTCGGCCCGCTACAGACGGCCCACGCCAACATGTTCGCAGCCACAGACAGATGTTCGGACTCACTGCAGTGACACTGCGTCCGCATTCATCTGTGCTACCTGTTTAATGTAAACAAAGGAGAAGTCCAACAATGACTGGCAGCTCTTACACTCGACGTCACTCAAACGTTAGTCGTGCTTTATTTGATATCTCAACTAAAAAAACAAAACCTATGGTAACATAATTATCTGCTCTAAAGTTTAGCAATCAGCCTCTTAAAAGGGGGAGTAAATTCACTCTTCTCAAAATGAAATTCTTCCAATTAGTGGAGAAACAGGCCGCAAGGCTTTGTAAAAATCCTGTCAAGCAGACACACCTATGGTTTCAATGTGAAAATCCTATATCGCTGCATTCAGAAGATTGATAATTTTTGCGCGTTATCAGTTTTAGTTAACAGCCGTGCTCGTTGTAGTGAAACAATGTGACAGTTGGTGTTAAAACGGTGGCACACAAATAAAATCCCCTCCGACTTATCAACCCAAAAATCTAATAACATTTCCCACAAGTCTACATTTTCACTCCACACGTGCTCTCAGAATTAAAAATAAAAGCAGAAGCCCAGACATTTACCTTGATCTGTTTTGCATTCATATTTATTAAATATCAAAGGTAGCAATTGAGTGCATCACAGCGAGCACTGAAGGGCAAACGCTGGATGGAAACCACAGAACGAAGCGCGCACACAGCAGAAACGAGACAGGAAAATCAGAGATGGAGAGCTGCAATCATGAGCTCATACTGTTTGACGTCAACACCACCAATCCCACCAGACGTACCCTTCCTTTGTTCTCCAGCCTGCACTTTTTCTACATTTCCCAGCAGCTCGATCTCACTGAGCAACACACAGACACACACACACACACACACAAAATCTGTGCCCAGTTGGAGGAAAACACAGGAAGCTTGCCGGCCTTCTTTGATTGGCACACTAACCCATTTCGAGTTAAATTGTGGGTCTGGTTGAAACCCTCGTACATGCACAGAGGACAGAGTGAAGAGGAAGAAAATTTTTGACGTTGGGCCCATTAATTCGTCCAGGTTTCCTCCTGCTGCTGCCAGAAGCTGAAAGAGCGTTAACCAGCAGAGCGAGTCAGCTGGGTCATGAGAGGAGCTGAATGTGTTCCTCAGGGCTTCAATTAGTGCAAACTAGGTAGGTACCGTACAGCTGTGGTCAGAGGTTCACATTCACTCATCAGCTTGAATGCCGTGGTAACTTGGGGGTTTCAATGATTTCTTTGAATTGTCTTTAAAGATTTTACAAAACAAGAGTTTGGTGTACAAGTTTGGATTTATTTGATTTTGTCTAATCCATGCAGGGTTGAAAGGATTCATACAGGCTCAAATATATTCATACATTCCTGTTAATATTTAGTTTAATGTCCCTGACCAAGTTGCACCTTAGCCAGACCCTTTTGGTAGCCATCAACAAGCTGTTGGCGTAATTCTGGCTGGATATTTGACCACGCTTCTTGGTAAAAGAAGTTCATTTAAAATATGCTGGTTTCCCAATTTTTAAGAGTAATCCACAAATGTTCAAAAGGGTTGATATCGGGACGTTGGGAAGGCCATTAAAGAAGCTTAATGTTAGCCTGCTTTATCCATCCCAAAATCAGTTTGGGATCATTGTCCTGTTGGATCACTGAGCTGTGTCCAAGTTAAGGAGACTTGAGGTTTTCCTCATTATTCCACTTTGTTTACTATATCAGCACCACCACCAGCAAATCAGCCCGGGAGCATGATGCTACTATCACCGTGCTTCACAGTGCGTACAGGGTTCTCTGATTTACTTCTTTTTTTTGTTTATTTATTCACATTTTTTCCTTTTTTAATTGGCTAGTGGAGCAGTGAAGAGGGGCAGGAAACAGAGAGCAGCAAACATGTTGCAAACAGCTCAATCTTTGTCTCGTTTAAAGACCATAAAACTTTTGGCTTGTCCGTGTGCAAGACTGTAAATTTCATTCAAGCTTGAAGATGTCAATTTCGAGCAGAGACTTCTTTCTTGGTCAGCACCCTCTGACTGTGGACAGCGATGCTGATGTTCCTGCATTTTCCAGTTTATTGCAGTTTGAGCCTTAATGGTTCCTGGGTTGTTCCTGTTC